ATAGATACCATATAACATACTAATAATAACTCATATGACGTACTGTATGGGAAATATTTTATTCATTGAATGATGAACCATATTTGGCAACTAACGCAATTAATATCATTATTGTTTTTACACTTATTACTCTTTAAACAATGCTAAATGCTCAAAATATGTGTATTTCACCCAATTAATCGCAGTTTGATGAGTTAACGTAAGCCTTGAAAGTAACCGTCGATTTCGACGGGTTTCACCTAGTATTATAAACTAGCTGTTGTACCCGTGCCTTGCAACGGGGAGAGGACACAAAATAGAAACATTTTGATCTTAACATTTGTTGTAATACTGTATTCTATACTGAAGTTTTATATTAAATTTAATAGTACTGCACCCTGTTGGTAAACCTTATAACTTTTTAATACTATTTAATATCATAGAACCAACTTGTGATTTGAAACAGCTGACAAAATTATTTTATTCCTTTGAAATATGATTACTTATAAGATTAACATGGGAAACTCCAGAGCCACTGGGGCGGAGCCCGAAAGGACTTTTGAGATAAGAATGCGTCTATATGTTAATCGGGAATATAAGCTATCATCACACCAAATTTCAGCTCAATCCGACCAGTATTTTTCGCGTTTACTTGTCACAAACATACATCCATACATCCATACATCCATACATCCAAACTTTCTCATTTATAATATTAGTAGGATGTGAAAGTTTGTTTGTTTGAAGTTCAATCACGCATTAATTACTCGACGGATTGGGCAGAAATTTGGCATGATGATAGCTCCCATTCCCTATTAACATATAGGCATGTTCTTATCTCAAAAATCCTTTCGGGCTCGGCCCCAGTGGCTCTGGAGTTTCCCATGTTAACCTTATGAGTACTCATATTTTAATGGAATTAAAGAATTTAGTCAGCTGTTTCGACTAAAAAGTTTGGTTCTATGATATGCAAAAGCATTAAAAGTTATACGATTTACCAACAGGGTGCAGCACTATTCGCAATGAGAACTGTTTTTTTACAGTTATGTTTATGTTTTTAATTTCACGAATAATATGTCATATTTTGTAAATCTTAAATAATTTTTTTTATTGTTTGGGTGAAGTAGTAAAACATTATGGCTATGGTAGATGTGTAATACTATATTATACCGTAAATTTAAAGAATCACATTTTATTATACTGTGTCCTCCCCCATTGCACACGCAAAGCTTGAGTATAACTGTACTAAGCATTTTAGCGAATTTCCCATATAGGGAATAAGCTATTACCGTATTACCGTAGTACTCACGGTAAGACCTGGACCCGGGACCGATTTTTTTTTCGTTTTGAGGTCCCTAGAGGTCAAAAACACCATCCGTTCAAATTCATATATATATATATATATATATATATATATATATATATATATATATATATATATATATATATATATATATGTGTCCGTTAGCGCGATAACTCGAGCAAAAATGATCCGATTTTGATGAAATTTGGTACAAACGTGTAAACCTACGTTTATTCGAACGAGTTCGCGAACCAGCATGATCGGACCATGGGAACGGGGGTTTATGGGGGCTTTTATGGGGAAAAAATGGGTTTTTCCCATTTTTGACCCAAAAAACATAAAATTTTGCAATTTCTTTTGAAACTATTTTGTAGAGCTTAAAAAAACAAATAATTTAGTATATTGAAGCGTTATAATGCGCCTAATGGTTACGGAGAAAATTCCAAAAAATTGTAAATTTAAAATTCCCATGTTATTCTTATGGAGAATAAGTAAACTGTTGTAGTTTGCTTGTTTATAAACATATTTTGCCCAAATTTGGAAAATGTTTTTATTTCTTACTAACTATTAACATTTTACATAAAAAAACACTTTTACCCTCCCTGTTGCAGCAAACCTAAGTATGTTTTAAACTGATTCTATTTAAATAGGGAATAAATGTGATAATTTTAAGGAGACATTTTAGTGTAAATCCATTCAGGGAAATGGAAATTCGCTTAGTCTGCAGGTTTGCTGCGGCGGGGGTATTATACTTATATGCCAATCCCGTACGAAGGACGGGTACTCTGCTAGTACAACAATAACTTGAAGAACATGAGCTAGTGATTGACCACTGTCAACACTAGCTAACAAAGAGAATTTTCATAACACTTAGCCGAATCTGAATGGTAGGTCCAATATAGTATGTCGCTTCAGTCTGTAAATGGTGGTGTGATTGTCCAATAAATTAAGTACAAGATTATTTGAATGATTTTCCAATTTCATAATGTATTTTTCACTAGATTTTGTAATATCTCCTTTGACTGTTCGAATTTGAAGATCATTATGAAGTGTTCTGTTGGTAACAAACCAAGGTGTGTTGACAATTTTACGTAATAATTTTGATTGGTAACGTTGAATAATTTCAATGTTTGAGGTACTTGCTGATCCCCAAAGCTGAATACCATAAGTCCAAATTGGTTTTAGAACTGTTTTCTACAGTAACAATTTATTTTGTGTACTAAGTTTTGATTTAGATCCAAGAAGCCAATTAAGTTTAGTTGTTTTTAAATTTAGATGTTGTCTTTTAGTCCAGATATGTGCCTTCCAATCAAGCTTTGCATCTAAGTGCATGCCCAAGTATTTTATTTCTGTTACTTGAGGGAGGTGAATATTGTTCATGGATACTGGAGGACATGTAGCCTGATTTAGGGTAAAAGTAATGTGTGCTGATTTATTTTCATTAATTTTGAACCTCCATGTTTAAACCAATGGGAAATTTCATCCAAGTTTAGCTGTAAATTTGCTGTAGCTTGAGCCAGGTTGTCGTGGACAGATAAAATCGCCGTGTCATCCGCAAATGTGGCAACCATAGTTTTTACACTTTCTGGTAGGTCCGATGTATAGAGAATATACAAGTATGGTCCAAGAACGCTTCCTTGGGGGATTCCTGATTCAATAGGGTAAAGGTCAGTTAAGTAATTTTGATGTTTAATTTGGAAAGTTCTCTTGGTAAGATATGATTTCAAAATAGGAAAAACTGAATGGGGTAGTAACTTCTTAATTTTTAATAGTAAGCCAGAGTGCCATACTTTGTCAAATGCCTGACTGACATCAAGGAAAGCAGCCGAACAAAATTGTTTGTTTTCCAAACAGTTTCGAATTGTATGAACAACCCTATGGACCTGTTCCACGGTGCCATGTCTCCGTCTAAACCCGAATTGGTGTCCAGGAATGACGTCGTCTTCTTCAAAAACAGCTTGTAGTCTGTTGAGGAACAATTTCTCAAACAACTTAGACACTATAGGTAAGAGACTTATAGGTCTGTAGGAAGTGATTTCATGAGGACGTTTTCCTGGTTTTAGTATGACAATTAATTGGGCTTTCTTAAATTGAGTTGGTATGTGGTCTAGTCTCAATATAGAATTAAAGAGAAATGCAATAAAAATAATTCCTTTCCTCGGCAATTCTTTTAACATTTTCCCAGTGATAGAATCGTAACCAGGAGATTTTTTCGGATTTAGCGATTTGTCAATGGTTGCCTTAATTTCTGTAGGTCTGAATTTTTCCAGAGGAAAGTCAAGTTGAAGTAGAGAGTCCAAGAACTCTATTATTTCTTCTTCATTATTAACCACACCTATATTTGGCTTGAATACATTGGAAAAGTAATCCCCGAAAGCTACAGATTTTTCTATGTCAGTCTTAGCCCAGCTTCCATCCGGTTTACGAATTGGCGGGATTGAAATTTGGGGTCGCTTCAGCCTTTTTGTGACTTTCCATTAAGAGTAATCCGTAGCCAACAAAGATTGAGTATATTCTTCAAACCATCGGTTTTTTGTGTCGTACAATAATCTTTTAAAATTCCGTGCTGCTCGGTTAAAGTTGGCTTTATCATTTGGGTTTCTTGAGTTTTGCCAAATTCTTCTGAGTCTTCTCTTTTCTGCTATCTTTTTCTTGATATGAATTGGGTAGCCTAGGCCTATTTTCTCCGATCTTTCACGATTAGGTAGAGGTGTGGATTCTTTGGCAGAATTTTGAATACATTCAACAAAGTGATCAACAACAGCTTCTACATTTTCAGGACTACGTAGCTGTATGTTTAAATTTAAGTTTTGATTGATTAAATTTCTAAATTGATTCCAGTCCGTGTATTTATTGAAAAATACGTCCCCTGGTTCTTTGTGAAATATTACGGTACTTAAATTTAACATAACTGGCGAATGGTCAGAAGAAAGGCCAAGACAAGATTTTACTTCAGTGTAATTTTGGTTAATACCTTTTGAAATAAAAAAAAGTCTAACAGATCAGGGATTTTTCACTTATCAGTGGGCCAGTAGGTAGGTTCACCAGTTGAAAAATGGGTGTACTGATTGTCATTCATTAATCTTAAAAGCTGTCTGCCTCTGGGTGTAGCCAAACGTGTATTGCATTAAAATCACCCCCTGCAATAAATTTATTGCCAAGAGTGTTGAAATACTGTTCAAATTGATTGTAAGTTATAACATGCCTTGAAGGGCAGTACACAGCTGAAATTGTAATAGGATCAAGCCAATCTTCTAAAACAATGGTGGAAGCTTGAAGATAATCTTCCTTAAAACATGGTAGTTCATAGTGTTTAATCGTGTCCCGAACTAGAATAATTGACTATGACAAAATTGTCGAAACTAGTCGTTGTTCAATTAAATGATTTTTTTAAAGGATACTTAGTTTCAAATAATGTATTTTTATATAAATATATATATGAATTTGAACGGATGGTGTTTTTGGCCTCTAAGGACCTCAAAACGAAAAATTAAATCGGTCCCGGGTCCAGGTCTTACAATGAGTACTACTGTAATAGCTTATTCCCTATATGGGAAATTCGCTAAAATGAGATAGGCTTCCAAAATAAGAGACAAATTTAAAAAATATGATTTAATAATCTTTATAATTGTTGAAGTCTTATGTATTATTTGAAGTGCTATTAACACTTTGGTTTATTTTTATAAAAATACAAACAATTAATATGAAAGCACGAAACTAAAAAAGGCGAAAACTTTATTTCTGTTACTAAACCACGTCCGCAAAATACAACTGTACATATTTTAGGGAGTAATAATAATCTATATCCTCTTAAGAATTAGAGGTGATATTATTGAACTTAATTGCACAGAGACATGACGCTTGTTGGCACTATTTGTAACTTAAATAGTCTGTGTCCATTACACGTTGTAAGATTGTCACTACAGTATTTCTATATACAACAGCAGTTGCGCGTATCACGAACGGTAGAGTCAGCTAGGGCAGGACTGCAGCTGCAGGCTACCAGGGTGGACTGGCGTTGTCCTCGAAGGTGATGGTCGGCACAAATCCACTCTCGCCGTCAACGTAGTACGATACAGTCATGAGTCTCTTGTCGGGCAGCCACACGTAGTACTTGCCCTCCACTCTTCCTGTGTCCTGGCCCTTCTCCTCCTTGCCGTGGTACAGCTCTGTCTCTTTGTCAGCCACTTTGTACTCGTATTCGTACTGAAACACAGAATGTGAATGTGGCAATAATTATTAGACAAATCAATGGACTTCTTGATGATCGCTAAATAACACAAGAATGCAAATCCTAAATCGTCCTAAAACTGATTTAAAATTATTGCCAATTTTGTGGTAATTACGTGTGGAGTTTAAGCCATCGGCTGGACCGGGGGGGGGGGTTGCTACAGAGAATTACGTTTGAGGTTAAGCCGTCGGCTGGACCGGGGGGGGGGGTTGCTACAGAGAATTACGTTTGAGGTTACCGTCGGCTGGACCGGGGGGAGTTGCTACAGAGAATTACGTTTGAGGTTAAGCCGTCGGCTGGACCGGGGGGAGTTGCTACAGAGAATTACGTTTGAGGTTAAGCCGTCGGCTGGACCGGGGGGGGGGGTTGCTACAGAGAATTACGTTTGAGGTTAAGCCGTTGGCTGGACCGGGGGGAGTTGCTACAGAGAATTACGTTTGAGGTTAAGCCGTCGGCTGGACGGGGGGGGGGGTTGCTACAGAGAATTACGTTTGAGGTTAAGCCGTCGGCTGGACCGGGGGGGGGTTGCTACAGAGAATTACGTTTGAGGTTAAGCCGTTGGCTGGACCGGGGGGAGTTGCTACAGAGAATTACGTTTGAGGTTAAGCCGTCGGCTGGACCTGGGGGGGGGGGGTTGCTACAGAGAATTACGTTTGAGGTTAAGCCGTCGGCTGGACCGGGGGGGGTTTACAGAGAATTACGTTTGAGGGTAAGCCTTCGGCTGGACCGGGGAGCGTTGCCGCAACGACTCTCCCCTACTTCACTCAGATAGAGAGAGGGGTGGTTGGCCGTGACGTCACCGTTCGTCGGGAGTCTGTGTCGTCGGGAGCCCCTGGCGGGTTACCGGTAAAAAGAAACATACATATATTATCTCTTTCTATTTACTAGTACCTAATAAAAGTTAGTTCGTTGGGTGGTGATCTACGATCTAATCACAGGGCTATGGTTTAAGTGGTGATAATGCTAATACAGTACCATACTGGGCAAAGTATAAAAGTGAATATTAAAAGAGGCTTTATGATAGTGCTTGTGTACCTTGAAGGGAATAACCTCTTCGTCACATTAAGCAAAATAGGTTTGATAATCGTGGAGATTTAAGTGCAGCATACAAAAACTCAAGTACGTAGATGCTCTGTGCATTTACTGACAAGTGAATTAAACTATTCCCGTAGTGTATTTGCAGGTATGGTAACAAAAATAATATCCCGAAGGAATAAGATAAGACAACAGAGGGAAAAATTCGTGGGGATCTTGTTAATTTCTTTACGGTTTATTAACTCAACATTGACACCAATAACTATTGTATGCATTAGAACAACCTGTGTGGTATTGCTACCATGTTCAAGGTCGGTTTGTGTTTTAGAAGTTATGTGGTATCAGAATGCACACAGATAAGGGCTTACAGGATTTTTGGTGAAACAACTTACTGGCATTGGCTTTTCCTCTTTGGGCGCTTCTCCCTGAGGTGCGGCTGCTACCAGCGCTACAGCGGCCACCACCACAACTACGGTCAAGCTAACAAACCTCGAAAGCTGCATCTGGGAACATTGAGTTTAAAAATACATTAAATGTGATTCATTATTTGAAAACAATATTGTAAACACAATAATATGCTATTACGAGTGGTCTCGTAAATAAAACACTTGATTCATACTGTAAATTATTTAAATATATTTTGAGCCTGATGTAAAAGCAAAAACTATCATGTGCGGTACGTCATATTTCAAATTTTTGAAACAAACTAAAATGAAAGTGTATAGTTATCTTTTTTTAACAATGTATGCTATGTTAAAGCATTGATCTTAGTTACGTGACTTAATGCTCATCAAGCTTTTATCTTAAACTAGCTGTTGTACCCGTGCTTTGCAACGGGAAGAGGACACACAATAGAAATATTTTAATCTTTATCTCTTGCATATAATAGTTACACATCCGCCAACGCTTTTAGAAACAAAATTAATCTTTTATGGCCTTAATAGAAACGTTTAAAGTTATGACTTTAAAATATGGTAAGTAGTGGATACCACAATTTTGGTTTTGATTAATTTTAAATCTTGTGTAGGCTGATATGAGAAAAACTGACCAAATCTTCGAGTAAAACTTTTACATACATGATTTACCAGATTTACCTTCATTTCCCTTAATTACACATCTTTTAATTTATTATTGACATTTTAAATTTTAATTTTGAAGTTGCAAAAATACTAATTATTAAATTTAAATATCTTTATATTAAACTCTTCTTTATATTAAATCACAAATCCTTTCATCTTCAGTTTTTTCACTCACAATAAATCATTAGCAAAACTAACTCAGCTGTTATAAACTTTAGAAATGTTGCTGTGCCTTATCAATACAGTCTTTTGAAATATTAAACAAACTATAATAATCTTGTACTATAAAAAAATTCAAACAAATAATTTAGCATTAAAGACAGCAGACAAAACTAATATGATTATCAAAGCATCAAGGACTAAAAAATGTAATAAATACAGTATGTTTCATTGCATCTCTGATTATACTATACAAAAATATCAACAAACAACTTAATATACAAACCAGTTATTTTAATCAGTTCCATCGTCCATTGCCTTTACATTTTCATACTTACCATTAAGAAAGCATAGTAACAGATATTTCATTGATTTTAAAAACAAAAGAACACTGTGTACTGCTTAGTTTTATGATATTTTCCTTGGTTTAATTTAATCATTGGTGTGGCAAAACACAAAAGTGTATCAAATAAAGTAAATGTGAACTGAAAGCTATGTTAAGATAAAATAAGAGTATTTTGTATTACCATTTGATAATTTAATATAGTTACACATATACAACAGATTTTAGAAACAAAAATCAACGACAATTTAGTTATTGATGATATTCTTTAGTTTAATTTAAGCATAGGTTTAGCCATAGATAAAACATACTGTTTAGCAAAACACAATAACTTAATTTACCTAAATATACATATAAAAAACAATGTGATGTGCAAGTTATGTTAAGTTAATCTAACACATGTGAAGCAGTTAGAATTTATTTAAAGTAGCCTCCAAATTCATACAAAACATTTATACATTTATACATATTATAATTTTCATAGCGTTTCCATGAAAACATATGAATAACATTATTTTCACTTAGGATTATTAACTTAAGACGCTTTAAAAAATCCAAAGCATAGCCAGAGTTGATACAGCAACGGTTATAAAATCTTTTTTCTATAATCATTGACATAGTTTTAGAATAAATAATCCATAATTTATGGAAAATATTATATTTAATTTCTTTGTATCAGCTGTCTGAAATTGTGATATATGCAATTTAGCAGTTCTTCTTGTTTGTATTTAATTGTTAAAGCAAATGTAAACAAACATTGTTAGTGTTCTCATCACAGCCATGGAGACCAATCAATATTTACTTTTAAAATGTTCACCTCAGAACTTTTAAAGCCAAAGGGGCAAAGCCTACAGTCAGTATCGAAATGTGAATAGTCCTATAATGGTCCTTGGTATGGTAGCTATATTTTTGTAAAATTTAAGCCCAGTTGGTTCAGTAGTTTTTGCACCTATTATTAATACACATACAGACAGACACCATTAGATTTTTATATAATAGTATAGACTAGCTGTTTGCCCGTTCTACGTACGGGAATCTTGTGGTAAGTTAAAACCTTATATTCAGAACTGGAGTTGGTTTGCATATTTAGTGTGCATTTTTCCAGATATGATGGCAACACTATAATTGTTTAGGAATACATATAGGTAAACCTTCTCAAATACAATATCTGACAGTTTCAAAGCCAAAACGAATGCTTCGCAATTAAATGTCACCCGATCGTGTTAGTCCATATTTGATATCTAATGATGAAAGGAATTGCTTTACAGTATAGATCTATGAGGCATAGCCCTAAGGTAGGCCTGTAATTGAAAGTTACTTTTCACACTGGTTAAAAGTAGTTAAAACACTACCTCAATCTCACTACTGCACACTTTATTCGGGTTAAAATTTCTATTAACGATGGTGCTCTCGTCTTTCGACGAAAAATAAGGACATTAATGCGTTACCAATAATAGACATACACACACAAATACAGAATTGAGTCCACACAGCATTTTGGAGTCCAGACAGAAAACGCTAAAAATTATACAGTAAGACATCAATTAAATTTAATAAGCAATAAGGTGCAGTGTTTATAAAAAAATAGTGAAAATAGTGATGTATTTGTATGTAAAAATGATTCTTACTGCTACCAACATGGATATTATGAGTTGCCATGCTGGTGACGAAATAACAACGAAATATAAACAGAAAATCAAAACAAATGAAGGAAACTCCAATCACATGTTCTATTCAAAGTGTGGAATGAAAATAAAGAAGTCTGTACATTAAATATTTTTGGTTGAGTTTCCACCACTGGACGACCTCTAGTATAAATAAATACACAGGCCACAAAACATGTAACATGTAACGTTAACAACGTAAAGCTTTGAAAAATCACTATGGTTTGCTAAATAAAACTTTCACTTGATGTGGTGCAGTACCGAAGTTATTAATCTCCTTTGGTTTTAATTTTTTTTAGTTTTCGAAAATCAAAGTTATTTCCCATTAATAGCATTATTTGTAAGCAGCTTTTAATGTTAACATATTAATGAAAGTTTGAAGAAACCGCCTTTATCCAAACAAAGGTTTCTTATTTAAAAGATTACGCAATCTCTAAACAATAATCGGTACATATATCTAGCAAACATTCGGAGGAAATGTGAAGAAAAACGCACAAATCTGGGGTTTTGTACGTTTGTAGTTTTATTTCCTAAGTAGGAAAAGTACCGATGGCGATATCGTTGTCGAAATTTAAGTAAGTAGAAACCAAAAGTGACACATTGGAAAAGCGAGTTTAGCTACATCTGTTAAGTTAAACCTCTGTTACGGTACGATCACCGCGAAATCAGAAAGATCTTCCAAGATCGCAGCAACATCCACGATCACCCACTGACTGCAGTTGTGATTTTTTAATTTGCACTTAACACAACTGTCCTTGAAGCGCCGTCAATGAGTGGAAATCTTTGTAAGCTACGGTATTGGTGACGATGATTAAAAAAATGTAAGTTTCCTTGCACTAATACAACACTGATTCACGGTATTTTCCCCGGTTATCAAAACTCAAGAACAATCGTTGCACTTGCGATTAATTAAAGCTGATAAGTAAGGCACAACGTTTTTAATCTCACTTGGTTTGGATGTGCTGACAAAACTTGATCGGAAATGGTTGCGGTATTTGTAAACAACTTTGAATGTAAACATATCAGTGACAGCTAGAAGTGAGAACTAATCCAAACAGCTGATCGTTATTTCATAAAATGTAATAGTAAACATTGGAAGACAATTTGAAAAAATCGATCAAAATTGGGTTTTGGTGGTTTGTTATTTTGTTTTCAAAGAAGCGAGGCCATGTTTTTTATAGCCAAAGACACTCTCACCAACCCAGTTAATACAGAAAAATGATTAGAACCTTGATCGGTACTCTAGTTTTCTAGGAGTAGGCCGCGTAAAATGACATTTTGGCGTTACAGACGCAGTCACAGAATTGACAAACAGACAAACAAACAGACATACAGACAGAAATTGAGATAAGACTCGTTTCGGCTTTCTTAGGCTATGAAACGTAAAAATAACCAAAAAATGCATGATTCTAAGCAATGTACAGACAAAACTGTAATTTTATTTATATAGATAATTCAACAGCAATAGAAAGTTGAAAGAATCTCTTGCACTCTCCTAAAATCTAAAATATAGCCTTCATGTAGTAATAACTTGCGTAGGTGTATTTCAAGCATTATTAATTAGTGGCAAATATTTTCTAATTGAGTATAGAGTTGAATGTTCATTAGCTATGCAATAAAACCTACGCATAATTTATTGCAGCGCTTCATTTGTCTTACAATAAAAATGTTGGCAACAATCAAAGCAACAGAAGCGTTTAGGTCTCTAAGTTAAATACAGCCTGTATTTTAGCCTCTACGGTAATGTGCCTCGAAAAAATACCGTATTACATTTAAGTTCAATTTTAAATTGACTGTCTCAAACAATTCCCTACAATACACGCCAAATTTAGAAGATGATGATGACACCACACAGACGTTTAACACTTGAAGTGATAAATCTGTCAAAGAAGTACTAATATTTTACTTCTTATTACTTAACTCCTATTCGGTTTTAGGGCGAAATATCTTTAGGTCAGTGAGTAAACATACGACAAAATGAATACCAAATCGATATGTTTCTGTTCAACATTACGTCTGTAACTGGGAGATTTCTGTTTCTCGAAACTTTGTCAGGATCATTCAACAAAACATTCATCACGCTCATCGGTTGTATAGTTATGGAGAGAATAAACATTAAGCCCCCTTATTCAATGTATATATTCGGTTATCCAGTGGTTATGTAAATTCTTATTAGCGAATTTGTCATTTCGGGTGCAAACGCATAATTTTTCAGCGGAACACCAAAGTGATGCTCAAAAAGCCCCAAATTTAGAATA